CGTCGCCGTAGGGTCTGGGATCTTCTCGGGGGGTTTCCCGGTCTGCTCCCCCTTTTCCTTCCAGCCTGGCGTTCGGGGCTCTCCTCTCCCACCCCTCCGTCCCCGTGGATTGGGGGTTTCTTGTTGGAACCCGTTTTCCAAATCCGTGCTTTTCCGTTTCCCTCCTTCTGTCCCCTCCAGCTTGAGGGTGTGGAGCTCTCCAAGACCCTCTTCCCTGGAATGTGCCTGTTGGGTGAAGGTCCTGCTTCCCCTTGGCCCCGCCACCGAGCTTCCAGCAGCCTTTTCCCTCCCCATCTATGATTTAGAGGGAAAAAAGAGAGTTGGGTGCCGCTCCCGTGGCATTCGGCTGGTGGTTTGCCCGGGACATGGGCTCTAGGGTGGCCGAGGAGGCACCTTGGGCTGTCGTCGTTGGGTTAAATGTTGGTAATTAGCGTTTTGTGCCATTTACAGAGACTTTTCTGCTGCCTCGACACTCGTGCGTGGGATCTCCCAGTTTAGGTGATAATGGTGAGCGTGGGGAGGAAGGGAGCATCCCTGCTCCAGCCCGATCCGTCTGGGGCTGCTTGTGCCAAAAACCAGTAAAGCCAAAGGGAATAAAATGAAAACAGAGCCGGTGGTTTCTCTGGGTCTGCCCTTTCCTGAAGGAGTCTTGTGGTTTCAGGGGTCAAACCTGAGAAACATTCACGGATCTCCTCTTCTTGGGAAGCTCTGAAATGCAAACTTGTGCTTTTATGGGATCAGCCCTTTCCAGATGCCCAATTTGACGTGTTTTTGTTTTTTTTTTCTTTTCTAAATTGGGGAAAGAAGACAAGGTCGGGCTGGGCGAGTGACCACGGAGGTGGGCGCAGGGTCTTGAGCTGGGCAGACAAGTGGTTTCCTGCCTGGGCTGTACCTGTAGCTGGTAAATGTGAGATAAAGTTAGAGAAAGCAGAGACTGGTTGGGTCTTTTTAATGGTTTTTAGGAGGAGGATGCTTCTCTTGCAGTAGGGATTCAGTCCTCTGCGTTTTTTTTTTTATGTGTGTGAGGACAGGAAAAAAAAAAAAAAAAAAGCTCATTTCTTTCAAGGAAGGCGGCAGCGGAGAGAGCTCCGCTGGGCAACCCTTGGCTGTTCCCGGTGGCCACCGTTTTCCTGGGATCTCCCCGGTTCGGTGCTCGGTGGGGCTGCACCTCGTCGATGGAAAAACCCCGTGGCTGGGAGGAGGAGTGGGATCCACTGGGAGGAGGAGTGGGATCCGCTGGGAGGAGGAATGGGCTCCGCATGTCGCTGGGGCTGGAGGAATCGCAGGGCTGTGAAGTGGGCTCAGATCTGGGTTTCTCGTACGCTCCTTTTTATTTAAAAAAAAAAAAAAAGTATGGAAACAGGGGGAAAAAAGGTTAAAGTACATATTTTACTGGCCTCTGTGATGGAAAGAATCTTCCACCCCACCCGAAAGGAGACACTTTGCAACTATTTTGAGTTC